GGTCTGCCACTCTCTTTCTTTTGGCAGCACTGCTCTGGACTCCTGTGTCAGAGACTTCAAGGTGCCCTCAGGACAGCAAACTCATCCATCCTAAAAGCCCACCTGCCTCAAAGGTGAAGTGGCTTACAGCTGTCAACACAGGGCTCTGTTCAGTGTCCCCAACCCTAAGCTAACTGCTTTTAATACACCTATTACCCTGGTAACTTTTTTTTTTAGTTTTTCTTTTTTTTTTTTTTGGAGGGTGGTCATTAAGTTTATTTTTATTTAATTATTACTGCTTTTTAAATGGAGGTACTGGGGATTGAACCCAGGACCTCATGCATGCTAAGCATGTGCTCTACCACTGAAACTATACCCTCCCCCCATGCTGGTAACTTATGATACTCTTGACAGAAAGGCTTGCCTCAGACCAGAAGGCAGAGAAGGTATTTGTAAAACAATCCTAATGGCTGAATTAAAGAATGCACATAAGACGGGGACATTATGCTGCACACCAGAAAGTGACACATTGTAAATGACTATATGTCAATTAAAAGAAGTCCCCCAGAATACTAAAAAAAGAGAATGCACATAAGGATATGTATGTGTGTATGACTTACACTGATTGATCAGAAAATAGCTGTTAATGGTAGTGATGCTGTAGAAGAGGAAGGTGGTTAAACCTTTATCGTCAGGGTCCTCAGCTGTGACATTGGCCACGATGGTTCCTGGACCCAGCTCCTCAGGAATCGTGTACACTCGCGTTGGGCTGGAACAGAAATACAGCAGACACGGCTAATTTTCAGGGGCGCGGGAGGGTAGCGTCTGGGAGGTGGGTATTTTGGTCAGTGCTAAATATAGCGCTGAGCTGCTGGAGTTGCAGCAATGTGTTTGGGAGGGAGAACTCAGCCTTCGAGAGAAGGGGTGGCTAGCGTGTGTATTTCCAACGATCACATCCCTGTGGATGGGAAGGAGGCACCAGGCTGTGACTGCAATGGTTTAGACCGGCCAGTCTCTGATGCCATTTCAGATCAGCCTTGGCACTAACACCTTTTAAAATAAGGAGAGTTGGTCTATCCAACCATCTTCTTCCAATTTGTGGGCAGAAGTTCCCTGAATTCTTTTTAAAAATCCCTCTGGACACCATGTCCAGATAGGTTCCTGACTCTTATCCCATGGTTTCCACCAAAAGCTAAATAAACTGTAAACCTTCTCTCTTCTAGTGCCTCTGCTCACTTTTTATTTCTTCCTTTTTTTTTCTTTCAGCCTGAGGAGGCAGGATTTACACACAGAACTTGTGCGCCTGTCCGAGTTGCATGAACCATGAAGTCAGTTCTCTGAAAGGAGAAGTGAGCCCCACAGGCAGAAGCCAAGGTCAGTGCACTGCCCTCCAAGGGTGACTTCTTACAAGGTAACCCCAAATTACCAACCTACCCACCTTCCTCAGACCCGCACTGCCTTAGAGAGGCCCGGGGATGAGACAGATGGGTTTGAAATTTTAACTACACAACTTGGGTAAATTGAGTAATTTTAAAGGCACCCAGGGAGGCTGATTGTTTAAAATAGCTCTGCAGGAAATCCTTTTGGTGAGGGAAAATCGCTTCGGTGGGGCAAATAGTCATCTCTAATTTACCAGTTTCCTAAATCTGGGTTTTCCCATGTGGGGGTCTTCTTGGAGAAGGGAATCCTATACCTCAGGTCTAAAGGATTGCTTTCATTTCATGAGCTCAGACTGTTTCTGCAGTTCTGTCTTATTACTGTGGGGCCAGAGGGAGGAGGAAGGGGAGGCAACCTCCTGGAGTCAGAGCCAGGCCCTCCCTCACTCCACTGTCGGGGGAAAGCAATCTTGTTCAGGCGAAGAGGCCGCCCCAGTGCTCTGGACCTCTCACCACCTGGTGACCCACTGAAGCTGCCATTACTTCATTTACTTGCCTGACACACCCGTTCTCAGGGAATCCGTGCTGTGCATTGGTGGGTCCAGGGGTAGACAAGGTGGGGTGGGGCCAAGGAGGCAGGGGTGATAAGAACCAAAAGCAGAGACAGAGGAGAGAGAGAGCCGCCCCAGCTCCTAGGGCTGGACTAAACCCTTGTTCCGTCGTGTGAGAGCCCGTTTCCAACATGTTGTATTTTTTTCTTTGGTTACTGTCGACTACAAAAATGCACAACCTAAAAGCTGAAAGTTTTATTCGGTGGACATTTCTGAGGACTTAAGCCCAGGAAGACAGCCTGTAAGAGGGCTCTGAGGGACCGCTCCCAAGAGGCAAGGAGGAGCCAGGATGTATAGGACTTTTTGCAACAAAGACCAGGTAGCTGGAACATCAAAAGATTACTACTAAAGAAAACTAGATATCTCAGTTAAGGAATGTAGTGCTTTTCTATGTATTGGAAGAGCAAACGTCAGGGCTCACTGACATTACTACTTTGCTGTGCACCTTAGCTGTCTAGGGCCAGTATCCTGTGCTTCCCATCCTGAGTCTCCTCCGGGGGTGGCTACAGAAGCTGACGACCTGTCAGCGAGCAGCCTGCTTATCTCCATCCTGAGCTCCCTCTGGCTCACAGACGGGGGTGGCGGGGGTGGTGCTGATGGCTGACGGCTGCAGCGTCCTTTGTTTATTGATATAGCAGGCAACATTTTTCATCCACTTGACTTTCTGTTAACTTCCCAACAAAAAGATCACTGACACCCGTGCTCCTTTCACAGCCTCACCTTTGCTACCCTCAGTGTGGTCCCTGCCCTTCCAACAGGCTCCCTGAGGGTGCTGGGTGTACACCTCAGGCCACTCCAGACCACTGACTCTGGATCTACATTTTCACAAGATACTCGGGGATTTGTATGCACTTTAAAGTTCGAGAAGGACTATTATAAGCAGTCACCAGAGGTGACAAGCACAGGCCCCCAGCCTCTCACAGGACAGACAGTGGATGCCTTGGGAGGAAAACCCCCTTCCTCCCATCCTCTCTTCTTCCTTGTAAATGGTTCTCAGCTGCAGATGAGTATGTTGTTACGAGGAGCAGGCTGCTCTAGGCATGTAGTGTACGAGACCAGGGATGCTGCTAACATCCTGCAGTGCACAGGAGCCCCCTCCCCCAGGAAGTACCAGCTCGAAATGTTATGCAGACGCATCTAGTTCACGCTGGGTGCTCCAGGAAATCAGGTCCCCATGAAGGGGACCAATTGGGCTGTCGGTGAAGGCACAGCTCCTCCAGTGCAGCATCCTCTCCTGGGCTGACTGGATACTGAGCCTGGCAGAAGAGAAAGTCTGTGCTTTATTTGGTATGGGGATCCTAGAACCAGGTGTGCATAAAATATCCCTTAACGTAAAAGTGTTACCCTCACTCTGCAGTATAGATCTATTCAAGTGCAGTGAAAGCCGAGCCCTTGCCACCCTCCGAGCACGGAAGCTCTAATGTCACTGACTCCCACAGCCCTCTCCCTGTAACACTGGATCCCCAGAGCCTGGGCCAATGGCCACACTCAGGGGAAGGGGTGCGAATCCTGGATGCTTTGGGAAGTCTTCATTGTTATCAATGAGTTATTCTGTAAGTGCACAAAGTGTGTCTGTAGGCACCAGGGTCAAAAGGACCATGAGTAAATTCAAAAGGGGCAGAAGGGGAGAAAGACCCACCTGCCCGACTGTAAAACAAAATTCTCTGAAAAAATAGCACAGCACTGTGCTTGTGGTGTCGAGAGTAAAAGTAAGTCAGGTACGCCTATAGTAAAGCGCTCAACTTCCGTAATGGC